CAGAATCCAAGATCAATGAAACTGAGAAGGGGTCAGTAGGCCTTGGCCCTCAATGGACTGTTGCGAAACTGAGCTTAGTTTTTTGATCATGCTTGAACATATCAGTGGAATATTATATTCTTCAACTCTTTGACGCTGATGGGACAACGGCATCCCGTTTATATATGCTTTTTTTCTAATACTTTAATTATAAGCAAAAATATATTTTAGTAATTTTTATTATAAAAAACAACATTCTAATAGTTATTAAAAAATCTGTTAGATTATCGGAATTATATTTGCATTAAAATATAAAATCCAAACTAAAGCTCGTTATTTTTTTTTTCATTCACACTCAAGAATTTATCAGTTATTGATTTTATAAATCAAATAAATTTCAATGATGAATAACTGTTTCTCTTATATCTAAATAACTGCAGATTTTCAAAAGTTTTTGTTTCAAAATGAGCCATGTTTGGAAGAATTTACCTTTAACGCAGAAGAAGACGCCTGTGTTCATGCTGTATTTCATAACTATAATACTAAACATTATATTTGACCTAGATTAATACAAAATAATGATAAAAACATGAAAAATATGTTTAATAAAAATTCTGCGTTAAAGGGTTAAAAATTATATTTATAAAAAGTAAAATTCTTAGTTATTGAAAAGAAATTTTTTTATTCGCATATAGTTAAGTTTTGATGACAACAATGTTCGGATTTTGTCAATATTACTAATGAATCGACTTGTTTCTAACAAATAAACGCATTTTCATAATAAATTTAAAAATGTGTTAACACTGACTTTCAATTTTTTTTCTTTGCAATTCTTAGTTTTATATTTTAATTTCTAAACAAAAACTAAATTATGAATTATAATAAATAATTTTTCTTCCCTAATATATTTAGTTATGCTTATGAAAATCAATGTTTATCTATTTCTTTGTCGAAATGGTATAATTGTTGTTCTGTTTTACGTTTTTCAAGATGTTCGTAAAACTTTTATAATTAATTTTGAGCATCCTACATGAATTATTCAGGCAGTTTGAAAGATATTAAATGATTTAAAAGATTTTGTAGCATAAGATTAATAAATTAAACGAATTAATTTGCTCTGAAATTCAATAAAAGATAATGCGTTGAACTAGAAAATTTAACTATGCTGCAAACATAATTATCTCGAAACAAAGTAGTTATTAGTCTTCCATTAATTCACTAATTGTCTCATTAAGTTGTAATTTTTAATTAAGTGTTAAATAAAGAAGATACATATGAAATTCTAATTGTTAAAAAAAGAAATGGGTTTTATTAATTTAAAGGCTTTCATTTTACAGAAAATTAGTATGTTTAAAGCAAATTATTGTAGTCCAGACGCTTCATTATGTGTCTCCTTTAATTTGATTGGTTCCTAATTTATAAGCTCCTTTGATATAAATTTGCTATTTGGGAAACGTTAATTGCATTTCTTTATATTCATCTCAATATTAATGCTTTTCGTCAATTTCAATTCCCTCAACTAACTGAATAAATTATGGTAATCTTTTTAAATGGAATAACGGGACTTAAGTACACAGTGAAAAATGCACATGTAAATTATTAATTCGCTATATATATTGAGCTCATTTATAATAACTTATGTCCGAAAAATTACAGATAAGATGACAAATTAATTAAAGAAAAGTAGAAGAAGATGGGTTTCTAAGGTTCTGCTGAGAAACAAGTTTATTCACATTAATTTTCAGAATTAGTTAAAACTTTTGTCAACAGATGGCGAGGAGAAAACATGCACCCGTGTGAAGACTTTTAGCCTAAAAGATTTTACTTCAAGCAGGATATGGCTTTTCCAATTTTATTTTCAATTCGCAATGCCATTTCTTGACAAGTTTTACGTATCATTTTAAATCTTCGTCTAGTAAATCTAGTCGTTGAACAGCCAACCCAATTTTTGGGTTTTCGACTGCTAATGTTCAACTACGTAGCCTGGTAAATTTGAACCTAATTCAGAAGACAAGGGTACTCCTGGATCAAGTATTGGGAAAAATTTACATTCGTGGAGGACTTCTTGTATGGAACTAACCCGCATTTGTGTTACATGGAGAGAAAAACCACCTTAAACTCCCACGGTTAGCCAGACGGCAAGGGGACTCTGACCCATGATCCGTCTACCACTGAAGATATTTCACGTCAGCACTGTGGTCGGTGCAAGCCAGATGTAAAATTTGTATCGTACAGCCGTCGCCGGGATTTGAACCTCTATCTCCTGAGCTATCTCGGCCCTTTGGTCTTTTAAATGGAATGCAGTGGACCGTAATTTTTAGCCTCCTTCCATTTATCTTCAACTTATTTTTCAAATCTTCGTAGTCTTCAAATGTTGAGCACCTGATAACACAGCGTTAGACATTTACGTACTAAAACCTGCATGATTAATCAGAATTAGGCTATTATGTGAAATTCTGCCATTGCAAATCTAAGATATTGTTTTTCAGGAAACTTATGCTCTTTGTCATAAAAACAGAAAAAGTCTTTCTTCTTAGTTTTCATAATAAAAAAACAGAAAGCTTCGTGTAAAATTCAGACATTTATTTAACTGTAAAAATCTGGTTTTAATTAAATATTTGCTGAAAATAATATATTGGAATGTTTTCTTACTTCTAGTCCATATGGGATTAGGTAGATTATTTAAAAAAAAAATTAAAAACAACCAACTTTAGATCCTGTTCCATTTTTCCTTTTCTCTTGTTCAGTGCAGAAAAAAAGATAAAAAAAGAACCACTCTGAATAACTTTTAGTTAATGATCGGATCTTTACATTCTATGTTTCGATCAAAAAAATTCGAGAAAGTAACCTTAAGTATATTAATTAGAGCAAACTATTTTTCATTTGCAAAATCAGACTTTGCAAATTGCACTTTCTTTGTGTGAACACACCTTTTTTAATGATGGATCCTGATTTTAGACCCCCAAAATATACGGGATAGTCCCAAACTGGGAAATATGGTCCTAATTTTCGGTCAGGAGAGTGATCTAAAGTTGGAGCCCTTCATGTTATTTTTACTTCTTCTTATCTCATCATATATTGAAAACTTTTTAAGAGAATTTGTCATTTTTTGCACGCAATTATAAAATTTATTTATCCAAAGATTTTTCTTTTATAACTTTTAGTAAATATAACTTTAGTAAACATTTCCCATTTTTTATTATTTTATTTAATAATAGTCGAAAAAAATTTGCAAGGTATATAATTTTTTAGATCATTTTAAAAAATGCAAGAATGTATATTTCCCAGACTGCAGCTACCTATTATATTTCAAAGGTCAAAAATCCAAATTTGCCGAGAAACGCTACATTTATTCTAAAAAAGTACGTTTTTGTGTCTGATTTTGTAACTTAAAATATGGCCTGCACTAATTAATTATCATATTTGAGGTCACCCTTTCGAACCATTATGATTGAAAACTAAAATGTGAGGATCTGATCATTAGATCAAAAGTTATGAGGTAGGTCCGCTTTTTATTTCATTTATTTATTTATTTACTTTGCTCTTATTAATTCTTCTATTTTATGTCACCTCTTCGAAAGATTAGGTTGAGAGATTAAGATTGTGTCCAAAAATGTGAAGATCCGATTATTCGATCAAAAGTTATTTAGGATAGTTCATTTATTTTTAAAACATTCTACACATACGAAACTCATTCATTCATTTATTTTTCATTCTACAGAATGGCCTCGTTTTTTCGAAATACACCAAATAATATCTGATGTTGCTTTGTATAATAAAACAAATGCATCCCCTAGTATAAAATACAAAAAGTTTATGAAAATATTAAATCGAAATGAAAAAATAAGTCAAACTATTATCCCACATCATCCAGTTAGTAATAAATAACTTCATTGAAAATTTAATCATCGAATATTACTTCATCGAATATTGTTGTTGTTCATTTACGTCGCACTAGAACATCGCAATGGGCTATTGGATCCGGTTTGGAAAACATCCTTGAGGATGATCCGAAGACATGCTATCCCAATTTCAATCCTCAACAGAGAGGATGGCACCTCCGCTTTGATAGCCCGACAACCATCACGTGCAGGCGAGCACTTTACGGTAGAGCCGTTTAACGAGGACCAATACCTCACACCCTCGGTTCCTACGCAGACTAATCCAAGTAATCACCCACCCGCACACTGAGAGCAGTCAGTGATGCTTGACTTTGGTGATCTGCTGGGAACTGTGTCATAACGATCAGTCCACGGCGGTATATATGTAAATTTTTTTGATTTCTTGTCAAATTTAGTGGGTCTGCAAACAGAAAAAACTGCGCCAAAGCTTGGAGTAATAAAAAGTTTATATAAACTGGGTTTCCAATTGTGTATTGTGTTATTCGTATTTTCTTTAATGCAATATTTAGTAATTTATTTAGTGGTATAATTTAATATTTTTTTCATGAAATATGTAACTCCTGATCTTCATAATTCATCTTAAAAATCTGTGCCTAAGAGTTAAAATCTTTTCAAAAACTGCATGATTTATTCTAATAGTTAACTCTTTTCTGAAATTAAAAATGTACTTAAAATAAAATAAAAAAGGATCTATTTTAAAAACTCAACACATTGCAACTTAGTATATATTTTATAGGATTCCTTGCAAAATTTTACAGGCCTGTAAATTAAGCTCTTCATAAAGTTTCAACCAAAAAATATTTTTTGTACGTAGTTGTTGATTGTATATTGCGTTGTTTGTATATTAAATTGATTTTACATTGTATTGGTGTCATTTTGGAATGTAATATTTTTTTGTAATATATTTAATGGTATCGTTTTAAACAATTTTTTCGGGAAATATGTAATTACGCATATTTCCTGCACAATTTTTCGGTTGATAGGAACAAAATTGTAAAAGCAATTTCAGTCATGTTAACAAAAAGCAATTTTCTTGAATAGATAGTTTATTCTTTTATTAGTTAAATTTATGTTTAAGAATTGTATTGAGTAAGTTTTATAAGATATATATTTTTCTAGATCAACATTTGAGTCAGCTTGAATAAATTTATCAACTTTCCTGACTCGGCTGTTCCATCAATCTATTTTGGGATATTCTTATAAAAAGTATATCAACGGTAAGAGAACTATTTTATTTTTTACAATAAATTTCAAAAAGTTTTTAAAGATAAAGTTTGAAATATTGTTTCATTTAAATATTTTTATTATTATCTGGAGTCTGTCGGAAATAAATAAGGCAAGAATCTCGATATATTTTATGCTGCTGAAAAAAATAGCGTAAATATTTTACTCTGTTTTTTATTGAAATGTTTTCACGTCAAAAAAGTAAGTTGTCTTTGTGAAGAAAAAAAATGATAACTGAAAAGAAATGCAAATGTTACAGTATCGAGATAAAAGAACTTACTTTTTTTACAAATATTTTATTTTCGTCACAGACTGCTTTTATCATTTTTATAAAAGAAATATGTTTAACTGTAAGTTTCAGATTCGTTATGCTTTTTCTTTTTTTTTATACAAATTTTTCTCAGAATACCGAAATCACATGAAAAATTTCTTTTGAGGTAATTTAATTTTTTTGACGCTTTCCATGCATTTCAATATACGTATATACTTGGTATTCAGAAATTTTCTTATTTTTTGTCCAGATCACCGAATAAAGTCGATTTTGTCTCATGTTTTGTGTTTTATAACTTTATTTACACAGAAACATGTTTTGAATATGATGTACAACAGAGTTTTCTCATTTTATGAGATTTTTCTAATACCTGATATTGGGTTAGAAAACGAAAACGGAATTTAGTAAATAGATTTGATCTATTTTCTGTTTTTATGAAATTTCATAGAACAAATCGATTTCAACCTTGATACTTGATAAAGAAACTTAAAAGAAAAAACTCAAAATTTAAAAGGTTGAATTGTTTATAAGCATTAACTGTCTACATTTCGGTCGTTTTATGGTTACCAAAATTTCTATTGCTTTTTCAAATAATACTGATATTTCAAAAAATAAACTTCTAAAAAACAAATTTAAAGCAATGGTAGTTGATTTGGGATTTGTTTTTGCTGTTTAAAAGAAATTAATTTTAAACAGACATCTGGTTTCATGAAATTTTGTTTTAAATTTCGTTTCAACTTAGATATTTGAAAAAGAGATTTTACTGAAAGATTGAAAAATTTAAAAAGTTGATTCACAGACCTTAATATTTGTTATAAAGCTATTTAATAAAATTCTGCCATTTTAAAAAATTTCAACTTACTCTAACTATTAAAAATTTCGGATCAAATTACGATTAAAAGCACTTATTACGGCAAAATCCATTTTTATCAAAAACTGTTACTTAGTAAAAAATTTGATATACCGTAATTTTTATCACAATAATTACCGAAAAGTCGCTAAATCACTCTAATTAAATAACTATTGCTATACGGTATAATATTTACGGTAAAAATGGATTTTACGGTAATAAGGATTTTACACGTAAGATGCACTTAAAGTGTACGTAATTTATACCATAATTTGATCCTGACTTTTTTGCGGAGTATTTGGCAAATAATCCTCTGAAAAAAAATTTCAAATTTTTTATAGTTTATTAGGTACCATTTATATCCATTTAGCTTAAATGTTCATTAAACGGGTCAAATGTATTAACTGATTCCCAAACGAAAAAAAAAAAATGCCACTAATAATTAGGTTTCAAAAAAACTTTCTCTCAAGACATTTGTTTCTTTTCTGTTATTTTCTCTCTTTGACATATAAAACGGCAATGCTGGGACCCAAACCCAAAGGGCCCATTTGTCAAAATATTAGAGGTCTCGCCACCACAAAAACAACCCCGATCAGCACACAAGACCGAGCATTCTCCAATTCACTGGCACAAGGCCCCGAGTTAGGAACGAGAAAAGCGCCATGTACACGTCGGCCAGAGGTGACCAGTCGAGCACTAAGCAATGAGTAGAAAGCCACAAGGCAGCAGTGCGGCAGCAGGCTGTGTCCAAAACCAAGCCGACAGTACGGAGCCAGCAGCCGCACCCTGACCCACCGAGCAGTTTTCCGGCAGGAAGACATACGAAGATAAAATTAAAAAATGTTTGATCAGACATTAAACTTTTCGTTTAGAAATTTGTAATTGACTCGGAAAATTTTCGATGTTTGATTTTAAAAAATTTAAAACGAACTATGTAGAGAAACAAAACTACCTTATAATTTTGTTGTTGAAATTATTTTAATTTATCTTAATTTATCTTAAATATTTTAATTTATTGTTTTAAGGTGTTTCAACTCATTATTTTAACTTTTTAATTTATTATTTTAAAGTTTTAGTTCATTATTTTAGCATTTTAATTAATAATTTTAATATTTTTATTTATTTAATTATTTTAATTATTCTTTTTTCTATTAATCTCCCTTATTTCTAAATTTGAAAGAAAAAAAATCTTAAATTTTAATCAAAAATGAGTCACCAAAAATTTTCTGCAATATGTAATTTAAACAGGTAACCATATAAATAATATTAGAACAAGAATATCTTAAGTTTTAATGAGGATAATAGGGTTTGCTTGAAGATCACAGTAACCGCGAAAAAAGGATCTGTTACCTAACTAAAACGTTCAAAACAAAATTTGATTATCAAGCCTACAAATATAAAATACTCTCATAACAAGCCTTTTCATGAGCAAAATAAATTTTTCAAGTTAATTTGATGTTTGGAATCATTAATAACATTTAAGCAAAAATGTGTCTACTTTGTTTTAAAAAATACAATTTATGATGAATAGTTTTCTTTAATTGTTTTATAATTGATACTCTGAAAGAAAAGTTTATCTTAAAAGAGAAAAAACAACAAGGAATAATACGAGTATGCTTTAAACTTGTTTTGTTTTCATTCCATCAATATTTCATATCAAACGCATGCCACGTTTTAAAAATAAATTTTACGATGTTTGAAAAACCCATTTTTTGTTTTCTTCAAAACTTAATCTTTTAAATCACGTTTCTTTTCAGTATTTAATGATTTAAGTTTAATGAGTATCTTTAGTTTTAAATAAATAATTCACCAACAGTGAAACATAAATTTTAAAGACAGAAAAAAACATCAAGGAAAATAAATAAATTAAAGATGAGAAATCTAATGACTTGTGCTGGGAAATATAAAAATTCGAATATCGCGCTATATCATCGAGGATATCGATATTTTACGATATTTTTCAATTTAAATATTGGTTAATATTTTCATTACTCAAACAAAATTTTTCAACACTCACAATATCGTATTTGAAAAAGGTACTCGTAATATTGGTCATCGCTATCGATAAAATCTCAAACTTTATTCAAAAACTCTTGTTAATAATAAAACTTATGTCATTTTTTGTATATGATATTTAACATTGTCGATAATTATCCCAATAATATCCTAATTTATAATTATCATTATCGATAAAACGTGTGAATTTATCATTATTGGATTATCATTATCGATAAAACGTGTGACTTTATCATTATTGGATTATCAATATCGATAATGATCTCAATATTATCGTAATCAATAGTTCTCGTTAAGTCTATATTTATATCTTTTTATTTCTAGAAAAGGCATTAACTATAAAAAATAGTTTTTTAAATTAGAGCAAAAGTGTATAAAAATGAGGCAACTATATTTTAATTCATAACCATTGTTAAACAACCGACCCATTTTTTGAGTTTACGACTAGCAATGTTCAACTTCGTAACCTTGTAATTTTGAACTCAAGAAAGAATTGAGTTAACATATCTAATATACTAGTTAATTAGAATTTAATATTTGTAGTGGTAGCTACGCCACACTCTAGAACTGAATCGGCGTCAATGCGATTCAGTTTATTTTCTTGAAAATAAAAGAAATGATTCTCAATTGATCGGAAACATGATATTAAATAAAGTTCTCTCAGATTTTTGGAAAAATTTTTGTTGAATCAAATTTTCTGAAATTTTTTACAATACATTTATTGACTAATGTATGGCGAGTTTGAGTATTTTTAAACCATCGTTATCACGTTTGATGTTTTATCGATCTTGAAAATAATGATATTTTATGAATATTAAACATTATTATTTATTTATATATTTCACGATATATCTATCAATTCATCACCCAGCTCTGTTGCTGATAGTATTAGTCAAAAACTATTTCGCCCTTTAAAGCAGATGACACCACCGTGTAACTTTTATGTATCTTTTTATCAGAGGCTCTAATTCCAAATAAAAAATATATTTTGGTATTTTTTAAATTATAAAAACAGTCTAATAGTTGGTAAAAAAAATTTTTAGATTATAGCAATTATATTTGTACTAAAATATATCTAAAAGTAGTTTAAAAAGAAATTTTTATTATTCATGTACAAAATTATATCAGTAATTGATTTTGTAAATCAAAGAAATTTCAATGATGAATAACTGTTTCGGTTAGATCTGAATGAGTGCAAATTTAGAAAAGATTATTATTTAGAAGTGAGCCATGCTTGGAAGATTTTACCTTTAACAAAGAAAAACACACCTGTGTCTCATGCTGTGTTTCATAATCATAAGTCATTAAATTGCAAATATAATGTGCTTCACTTAATTTGATCTAAAGCAATACAAAATAATAAAAATGTTTTAAAAATATATTTAATAAAAAATCTGTGTCAAAGGATTAATGATTTAAAAGTTTGAGTTCTTACGAAAAATTACAGTGATAGAAATTTACGTGCTAGCTTATAATTATACGCACAACTTCATGCGCACTAGTTCATAAATGCTAGTTTATATTTACAATACTAGTTTGCAGTTAATAGAATGAACAAAACTTTTCACAATTTGGTTTATTTTTACTCTCCAACAAAATAGTCAATCCTATTCCCGAAAATTATTTTTTTTTGTATTTACACAGAAATAAAAAATATTTTATTCTTCCAAACAAGCTTATTTTGAAAGAAATGCTTGCTCACGAAAAGCATTTCAAATCTGAATGTGATAAAGAATGTCAGAATAATGAAATAAACTTAAGAAGAATCGATTAAGTGACGGTAAATGTTGCCGAGAAAATTAGTTTCCGCGGTTATGTAATTTCTCCCCTTCATATCTTTGGTTATTACAGCATTC